ATATACAAAGGGTTGGAGGTTTAATAGCGCCTTTCGACACTTCTCCTTCTTGATCGAATAACGGCGAACGAGTGATTTCCTTTATTCCCGTAAGACGAAAATATCTCACTCGTGATATGTACTTGCACTTGCATATCAACACTCCGAGATACAAAGTCGACGTTCAGGAACGGCGAGATATCGAAAGTAGTAAGGGTCACTGACAAATGCTCACAAACGCCGAGGTGACTCGGCGCGCTTGATAACCCGGTGAAAATATTTTTTTCATTCGACCAAAGAGCAATAATGCATGTCTGCAAGATTGTTGCGGTTTGCAAGATTGTTGTGCGTTCGTAAGATTGTTGCGCCTTTAATTTTGGACACGGCACGAGCGACTGATGTCGGGCGACGTGTACGCGCGGCTTCATTAACGCCCGAATATTTACTAGATTTGTAGAATGTGTTTGATACTAAGCGTTTCGTATCTCGTGTACATGTAAATTCAAGCTGAATCATACACCAGTCTTTTTTAATTACTAATCCAATATTTGGTGTGATTATGTAAAATGGTAGAGGGATTTTGTATTAAGTTTAATCTAATCTACAAATCTATCTAATTACAAATCTCTATTGTAATATTATCTATGTTAAAATTTCCATGTGTTACTCAATTTTATTGTTATTTCAATGTAAAATTAACATATTACCGATATGTTATTATTTTTGTGATATTTTAATATGTTTTATTAATGTCAACTTCACAACTAAACATTTTTTTTTATATGTCAATAATGGAATATTATTTTGAGTTCTTTTAGCACAATTATTTAAAAAAAGACGTTAAAGTTACTTCAATATTAACAAAAAATAAAAAGCAAGTCTTCAAATTATTGTAAACTTTGATATAGAATAATCAAATTAAGAGAAAACGTTTCTAACATGAATACGTTAAGTTAATGTAATTAATATCATATATTAATATAATATAAAAAATAAATTATAACGCGTTCGCGTTTATATTTGTTCACACTATATAAACAAACATGTTCTATCGATGTTCCTTACAAGTTGCTTTAACTATTCTTCTGTGTTATCTGTAATTTGTGTCTTCTGTAATCTTTTTTTACTAGTCTTTATATTATTTTTACAATTGAGCTTAAAGAGTAAAAATAATAGACATAAATGTAAGAAAAAGTCGGTGAGTATCAATTAATTAATATTCATAATTTATTGATAAATAACACACCATGAATGAATTATTTTTACATAAAATTTAGAGTGGACTTTTTTGAATATATAAAAAATGTTAAAATTAACATTTTATTTTTTACTATGCATGTACATGAGTTAGTGCGACGCTTAGTGTTAAACATCTTGTAGAATTATTAGATATTTTGGATTAATCGCGTGTTCCTGTTTATATACACTAAAAAATCTTGCGTAAATGTTAAAATGTTAAACTTAGTATAAAATTTTTTTCTATGTATGCATTCGTCATGACTGTCGAGGAATAGTTTGACAGTTTGAGGTTCAGTTTGCATAAGATAGCGTTTTGTCCGCTTATGCGCTACGAATAACCAGCAGGAAAGTGATACAATATAAATTATGTTTAAAACACCTGGATACATAAACAATAGGTAAATTTTCCAAGGATAAGAAGCATAGTAAGAGGATCGGGAAAATAAGTGTATCACTTTCCTGTGTAATTGTGCGTAACGTACGAGCGGATAGAAAACATTAATTTACGCAAATTAAAGTTCAAACTATCAAAATATGGGTGCGATCCATTAGACACTGCAAATTCTTTGAAGTACCCGATCAGGACCAATCATTGCTTTTCATTAAAGCGTTCAAAGCGTTTGCTTCAAAGCGTTTGCTTAAGTATCTATGGTTCGCATCCTATCATGGCTGCTTTCGAGCTTCCTCGGCTATTTGACAGTCATAATGAATGATATACGTAGATACAGCATATGTGGAAAGGGACACGATTGGTCTAAAATATCTGGCAATTCTAAATCTAGTAAATGTGTGCTCAGACATTAATGAAGCCGCGTATATTACTTGAACTGGCGTATATTACTTTAGACAGATAAGCTGGCACATTTATATGTATATAATGACGAAACATACGCGCGTATGAATATTAATAGAGAATGCTGAGTATGTGGCACGCGGCGATGCGCGATGTTTCCGATAGACAAGTTTGTATCACGATATCTAGCTGGCTGTCCATTAAGGTTAATTAGCAGAGTCATTCATTCCATGAAGGCCATCATCAGAATAACTTCGTCGTTTCAATCACGGAGAATGCACACGTAACTATTCTCAGTAGTTAATCTCATCTTTAATCTACCGATTTATAAAAAAGATATATATAAAAAAGATTTATAAAAAAGATATGTTATCAATTTCGTATGTATTGAAGTCATATCGTGTGTGCAGTCTCTTTTTCGTGATGCTGATTGGCTGCTCCGTTGCCGTGTCGAGATTCAAACACAACGGTTAACTAACTCGTCAACATAATTGGTCTTGATTTAAAGATCTGACAGTAAAGACTAATAATCACCGGCTGCTCATTGATCGCTTTGTTTCGCTGAACGCAGCTATTAATAACTGGCGGTTAAATGATACACGTTTCGACGTTTTGCGATATAAAGAGGTTAATATCCAATAACGACAGTTTAGTTGTATTATAAGGCTTGTATTATAAGCTTGTTATCAATTTGCAAGATGAAGAATATTGTTATTGGTATCGCTCAAGAGTCATAATCTCAAGTTTAGATTTGTAGAGATTTCTTGTATTAAATACGAAGCCGCTGATATATAAATCGTGTTTCAAGTTTGTCTTTCATTTTTGATCGTTCAGTATTTTAATAACATTCATTATATTCCTAAAGGATTACAGCTGTTATATTTATATTATGTATCCACAGAATTACGGATGTGTTATATTATATTTTTTATAGTTAATTTATATATTTATAGTCATATTTATATTATATTTTTTAGAGTTATATACGCGTAACGAAGAAATATAAGTTTAATATTGGATAAATATATATTTTAACGAAATGATATAATTTTAGTATCTTGTTGAATAACCTTTTTGTCTCATAACATGCTGCCAACATGCATTTGGACATGTTAAAAACAATTTTTATCAAATAATCAAGTAATCAAGGTATAATACGCCACCACTTCTCTTTTAGTCGTAATTTCAATTCTTCCTTTGATCTTATAGAAGTAATCCAAATGTTACGATTCAATAAATCTCATAAATTTTCAACAAAATTTAAATCTGGTGATTGTGGTGGAGAATGTGGTACTTTTGGACAATTATATAATAAGTATTTTTGAACTATTTGCGATTTATGTTTTGGATATCTTCATAAAATTTGAAACTTCCTCGTATATTCGTATTATTAGCATTTTTTATTAAATTCTTTTAGAATGCTCAAATATTTATTTTTATTTAAAAGTCCGCTAATAAAAACCAATTCGCCTATTTATATATAGTCCAAATACAACCCCAAACCACTGCCACCATCGTGGTTGGTCTCAAATTTTTTACTTTTAATTCTTCGTTTGTGCCTTACGCCGTATCGTTTTCCGTTTATCAGTAGTTAATTTAAACCAGGATGTTTTTAATTTTTCTGTCAATTTTGTTTATTCCATGAGTTCAAAGGTAATTTTGGGCGTTTTTTTTTAAATATTGATTCAAATTTTTATAATATCTACCACTCTGATCTTACTCAGATTTAATAAATTACCAATTTCTCGGTATGATGTCTTTTTCATGAATAACAAATATTGACGTCTATCAAATAAAATATTCTTTTCTTACGTCCCATGTTTATTTTGATCCACGTGGTCTATATGACTTCAAATGAGACTGGCTCGCCGAAGCATGTAATACATCTTATGTTTACAAATTTAGAGAATATTCTAATCGACTTTCTAAAATCACTAAAATATAAAATCAAATTGAACGTCTGAATATTTTTGCGGTAATAGAATTAAACATAATTTTATCTGTTATATATATATATCAAAAGCTTATATAATAAAATTATATATATTATATAATAATAATTATATAATGAAATATTGAACAAAATATATTAATTAAGTAAATAAAATTCATGTTCTTGACAACCGTACTAAATGTTCTAATTTATTTAAAAATTCATGGACTCCTCTTTACAATAAAAAAAACTATAGCAGTTAATTTCTTAAGAATAATGATTCGAATATTAATGTGAGTAATTCTATGTCAAAATTAGAAAGAATTTGTTGTATCATAAAGGCTCTATATATATACGTTTGCATAATACAAATTTACAACAAAATATCACGGAAACGACACAATAGAGATTATTGAAATTTCTGTTGCGTATTGTTAGTTCGATCGCGACTTTATCATCATGTATTGTAGGTTTATCTTTCATTTGTTCAACTCCCTAACGGGCAATCGACTGTCACGCAATCCATGTTCTTTGTTTCTTCACGTCGACGAAGAAGAAAATGAAGAAAAAGAGCGGAATGAGTCGCTCGCGAGAAATTGTCAAATACTTTCTTAAAGTGAATCAGTGAAATATCATTGAAAAATATACACTGATTTGTAGTTATAAGTATAGCACTGAAACTGCTATAATTATAACTGATATCAATGACTATTCACTGATTCACTTTAACTTTCTAGTCGTGCTTTGGGTCTTTTTTGACTCAGAACAGTTTCAAAGTTTTTGTAATATTCTAAATACAAACGTGATACTTCGTGACTTTTCGAGTTATTTTAGAAAAAGTCAGTACACGTTGTACTAAATTACTTTATATAATGCTGAAATGAAAAATATAAAAAAATATGTATATGTCAATTAAATAGTGAGTTCTCACCATTGGGTCTATTTAGACCCTGAATATGGTCAAAGTATACCCGAAACGAACACGGTTAGAAGGTTAAAAGTGTAGCTTTGTAATATTTGCATAATTGCTGTATAAAAGAGATCGCTAATACTCACGTTTTTGTCGTTATTTTATCCAATTTTTAACTCGTGTCAACGAACGTCTCGTAGCTACGTCGGCACTAATCACGAGAGAATGGCGTTAAGAGAACGCTGTCGCAACGACCATCGCAAATGATAGAAGAAATTATACTGTACTAGTTATCGATAATGAGTTAATGACGTTGATAAACGTAGCGACGTATAACGGTTCTACAATGATCTGCTATCCACCTGGGTGTATCGGCAATCGCGAATCGATCGACGTCGCTGGCACCTCAACGGCCTTAAGCGACGACGTTGACGACGAGGTTCCCTGTTGCGAGGCACAACGCTTTGTGCGAAGAGGAAACCCGATTGAGCACCGTTGATATACGAGCCCCGGCATGGAACGCGATGTGTTTACCGTAACGTCGTGTGTGCGCGTGTGTGTTCGCCAGCACAGTGAAAGTTGCGAGCGAGAAGCAGAAGAGAGACGGCAGAAGGTAAGGGAGGAAGACCGGCTTCTGTGAGAGATCAGGCAGGAAGAAGGATCCGCGAGGTGCAGATTCGCACGCGTCTCGAGTCGCGTTATTGGTCCGTTTAAAAGCTCCGAAAGATATCCTCCGATGAGACGAGGCAAACGAGACGGAATCCGGAAAATCTTTTCTACAGAGAACGCTTCAAAGGCGACAATAGCTCGGTAATAGTCGATTGCTTTGTACATGTTACATCGTACATGTTACATGTACATTCGAGATTAGGTTAATCGATATTTTTTTTAAACTACGTTAAGCTTAAAGTTTACGGCTTATGCAGTTAATTTGGTCAGGTAAAAAGTTGCATAAGCAAAATCTAACTTAAAGTTACACGAGTAAAACATAAAGTTACATAAGCA